ACAGTTGTATTTAGACACATACAAGAAGACATTTATATTAAGACACATATAGGAAGACAGTTGTATTTAGACACATACAGGAAGACAGCTATTTTAGACACATACAGGAAGACAGCTGTATTAAGACACACACAGGACGACAGCTGTATTTAGACAAATATAGGAAGACAACTGTATTTAGACACATACAGAAAGACAGTTGTATTTAGACACATATAGGAAGACAATTGTATTTATAGATGCATACAGGAAGATAGTTGTATTTAGGCACATATAGGAAGACAATTGTATTTAGACACACACAGGACGACAGCTGTATTTAGACACATACAGGAAGACAGTCATATTTAGACACCTATAGGAAGACAATTGTATTTAGACACATACAGGAAGACAATTGTATTTATAGACACATACAGGAAGACAGCTGTATTTAGACACATATAGGAAGACAGTTGTATTTATAGACTCATACAGGAAGACAGCTGTATTTAGACACATATAGGAAGACAATTGTATTTAGACACACACAGGACGACAGCTGTATTTAGACACAAATAGGAAGACAGTCATATTTAGACACATATAGGAAGACAGTTGTATTTATAGACACATACAGGAAGACAGCTGTATTTAGCACATATAGGAAGACAATTGTATTTATAGACACATACAGGAAGACAGCTGTATTTAGACACATATAGGAAGACAATTGTATTTAGACACATACAGGAAGACAATTGTATTTATAGACGCATACAGGAAGATAGTTGTATTTAGACACATATAGGAAGACAATTGTATTTATAGACACACACAGGACGACAGCTGTATTAAGACACACACAGGACGACAATTGTATTAAGACACATACAGGAAGACAATTGTATTTATAGACGCATACAGGAAGACAGCTGTTTTTAGACACATACAGGAAGACAATTGTATTTATAGACACATACAGGAAGACAGCTGTTTTTAGACACATACAGGAAGACAATTGTATTTATAGACGCATACAGGAAGACAATTGTATTTATAGATGAATACAGGAAGACAATTGTATTTATAGACGCAGACAGGAAGATAGTTGTATTTAGACACATATAGGAAGACAATGGTATTAAGACACATACAGGAAGACAATTGTATTTATAGACGCAGACAGGAAGATAGTTGTATTTAGACACATATAGGAAGACAATTGTATTTAGACACATACAGGAAGACAGTTATATTTAGACACATATACAGAGAAAGACAGTTGTGTTTATAGATGCATACAGGAAGGCAATTGTATTTATAGACGCATACAGGAAGACAATTGTATTTATAGACGCATACATGAAGATAGTTGTATTTAGACACATATACAGAGGAAGACAGTTGTATTAAGACACACACAGGACGACAGCTGTATTAAGACACACACAGGACGACAGCTGTATTTAGACACATATAGAAAGACAGATGTATTAAGACACACACAGGACGACAGCTATATTAAGACACACACAGGACGACAGCTGTATTTAGACACATATAGGAAGACAGTTGTATTTAGACACATATAGGAACACAATTGTATTTATAGAAGCATACAGGAAGACAATTGTATTTATAGACGCATACAGGAAGATAGTTGTATTTAAACACATATACAGAGGAAGACAGTTGTATTTAGACACATACAGAAAGACAGTTGTATTTAGACACATACAGGAAGACAGCTGTATTTAGATACATATAGGAAGACAGCTGTATTTAGACACATACAGGAAGACAGTTGTTTTAGACACATACAGGAAGACAGTTGTATTTAGACACATACAGGAAGACAGTTATATTTAGACACATATAGGAAGACAGTTGTATTTAGACACATACTGGAAGACAGCTATTTTAGACACATATAGGAAGACAGCTGTATTAAGACACACACAGGACGACAGCTGTATTTAGACACATACAGGAAGATAGTTGTATTTAGACACATATACAGAGGAAGACAATTGTATTTATAGACGCATACAGGAAGACAATTGTATTTATAGACGCATACAGGAAGATCGTTGTATTTAGCCACATATACAGTGGAAGACAGTTGTATTTAGAAACATATACAGAGGAAGACAGTTGTATTTAGACACATACAGGAAGACAGTCATATTTCGACACATATAGGAAGACAGTTGTATTTAGACACATACTGGAAGACAAAGTTAAATCATTTACTGTTAACTAAAACCTTGTACAGTCCACTAGCAGAAATCAAGATGCAAACTCAACCTGTTTTTAACTAGTGTAATTACGTAGCACAATCAAAAGTGTCTAAATGAGTCTATGATTTGGTATGGGGTCTGTTGTTAAATAAAGTGTGTACGGCATCTGAGTGTCAATGTTTCAAAAAATTAAAAGGTTTACTGTAGAAAATCCAGGGTCATATTATTTTGCTAATAGTTTTCTGATAAAGCATACTTTACATTTATAAGACCATACTAACATACAATAGATATATGTAGATAAAGAAGCAAGCTAAACCAACATACATATACAGATCAATGCAATTTTGGTCAGTGGTTAAGTAAGCTCATTTAGCGTGCAAACAGCATGTATATTTTACACATCATACTGGTCCAAGTAAGCACTGCAGGCCCTCTTGGCCGCTTGTCTTTCTTTAATTCTGTTTATATACGACAATTACAGAACTATTGGATTTTAATTGATATAAAACTAACTGATTGTAACAACAAAGTGGCAGAGGGTTGGATCATGGTGACTTTTCTGCTATTGTTGACCGGTGACAAATTAAGCCTGGAAACCAAAGCTAGCAGCTAGGACAGAGACTAGCAGGAAGCTCTATTAGGAGGAGACTAAGGGACATTAACAATGTTTCGGGACGGCACATCCAACATGTTACCGGATATATGTAAATGTTTTCTGCTGAGCGTCATTAAAGTCTAGCAGTTACTACGTGTACATGGCATGAAATTGGTTTACTTCATAGCTGGGCAAGGGGAAACAACTCTACCATTACGTTATCTCACCTGGTCAGAAGGACAAAGGTAATTCTGCACCACACTGTAATTAACATCTGTCATCTGTCAACTATTTCTTCAAACAAACTTTTACCTAAATGACTTAAAACATCTGAAAGTGATGAGGATTAAAAATTGTACAAATGGAGGGGTTAAACCCCTCTGCAGGGGCTGAGGAAATGCCCGGCTAAAAGAATGGAGGGATTGGCCTCAAAGTTAGCTGACCTTCCCTTAGGAAGGAACTTATTGGGGCCCCGTATCAGAGATACGGGTGCCCTATAGTAATCACTCTGTCTGTCTGTCTGTCTGTCTGTCTGTCTGTCTGTCCGTCCACAAATTTTGTTCCTGGCTAATAACTTTGGTATCTATAGACCGATGTACATGAAACTTGGTCAAGATGTTCAGTTCACAAAAATACACATTAAGATCAAAAGTCAAGGTCAAAGGTCAAGGTCATAAGGTTCAAAGGTCAAGGTCAAATTTTACATCTTTTCACTGATGAACATTTTGTTATGACATTATGAAGGAAAATTGATCAGAATTAAACAAGGAGTCAACTGACCTAAGGTCAAGGTCATCGGGTCAGGGGTCAAGGTCAAATTTTGTAGCTTTTTACTGATGAACATTTTGCTATGACATTATGAAGCAAAGTTGTTCAGAATTAAACAAGGAGTCGACTGACCCAAGGTCATTGGGTCAAAGGTCAAGGTTAAATTTTGTATCTTTTCACTGGTGAACATTTCGCTATGACACTTTGAAGCAATGTTGCTCAGAATTAAACAAGGAGTCAATTGACGAAAGGTCAAGGTCACTGGGTCAAAAGTGAAGGTTAAATTTTGTACCTTTTCCCTGATGAACATTGTGTTATGACATTATGAAGCAATGTTGTTCAGAACTTAACACTGAGTCAACTGACCTTAGGTCCAGGTCACGGGGTCCAAAGGGTCAAAGTCAAGGTCAAATTTTGTATTTTCCACTGAAGAACATTTTGTTATGATATTAAGAAGTTAAGTTGGTCTGAATTAAAGAATAAGTCAACTGACCAAAGATCAGGGTCACTGGGTTAAAGGTCAAGGTCATTTGGGTCCAAATACAAAGTCATAGACAAAGTGGATCTCTGACTTTGACCCTGGCTCTTGATGGAGGAGGTATATAAGGTGAAATAAAACAAATCAAAGCTAAAAAATGAGTGTTGCACTGGTATTTACATTTCTGTTAGCCCAGCAAATATAGAGGTGGAAGGAAACTAGACTCACATCATAGTAAATGTAAAATGTATATTTTGCTTCCTTGCGATTCTTTTTGAAGTTCAAATGGCAAACGTCAAGCTCAGCTATATGGGCAGATTGCTTCTTGATGATTATGGGGGATATATGGCCACAAGACGGGGCCCTTACTGACCTGTCAGTGTTCTAGTTAAATAAGTCAATGGGTTCTAAAATGGAATAAATTATGGTGTTCCCATTCTGTACTGGAATCACGTGCACCCTGTCTGGATGTATGGATGTCTGGATGTATGGATGTTGTACGCAGTAACTTGTCCGGAAAACTCCTCCTTAATTAACAGGTGGATTTCATTGAAACTTTGCAGGAATGATCAGTATCTTATGTAGTTGTGCACCAGCATTTTGATTTGGGATTTCAACCTTTTTTGTGTAGTTAAGCCCTTTTGTGCGAAATAATTGTCCGCGAAACTCCTCCTTATCTAACAGGTGGATTTCAGTGAAACTTAGCATGAATGATCTGTATCTTATGCAGTTGTGCACCCTCATTTGAATTTGGGATTTCGACCATTTTTGATGGAGGTATGCCCCTTTGTGCGAAATACTTGTTACTGGTGGGAGACTATGGATTGCTTTACAATGCTTTGCCTTAGTAAGCCTTTAACTTACAGTTCTTGTTTATATAGCAGCGGGGTATTAGTTAGCCGTTGGCTTACAGTTCTAGTTTTTTCTTCCACAGTGGTTGGCCCCCATCCTAAGTCTGCCAATGCTGCTAACATTGTCGTATGGAGCCTAGTCTGTGCCTGTATCACCGTTTTTGGGCTGGGACTTGCCACCTGCAAATTTTTCAGGTAAGTGGAAAGAATCACAGGAATATCAGTAAACGAGTGATTAAACCAGAGGGCAAAAGTTAATCAAGGCATTTCAGTCAGGGGTCAGACAGTAGTCCAGCAGGTAATTCAGGAGGCTGACAGGGAATCAGACAAATACTTCAGGGACAGACAGACGATCAAACAGGTAAGGAACAGACAGTAAATGACAGATAATTAGACAGGTAATTCAGAGGGTAGACAGGAAATGAGACAGGTATAATGTCAGGGGTAGACAGGTGATCGACCAGGTGAGTCAGGAGCAAAAGGTGATCAGACAGGTAAGTTAAGGGGCAGATAGGTAATCAGACAGGTAAGTTAAGGGGAAGATAGGTAATCAGACAGGTAAGTTAAGGGGAAGACAGGTAATCAGACAGGTAAGTTAAGGGGCAGACAGGTAATCAGACAGGTAAGTAAAGGGGCAGATAGGTAATCAGACAGGTAAGTTAAGGGGAAGATAGGTAATCAGACAGGTAAGTAAAGGGGCAGATAGCTAATCAGACAGGTAAATTAAGGGCCAGACAGGTAATCAGACAGGTAAGTTAAGGGGCAGACAGGTAATCAGACAGGTAAGTAAAGGGGCAGATAGCTAATCAGACAGGTAAATTAAGGGCCAGACAGGTAATCAGACAGGTAAGTTAATGGGCAGACAAGTAAATCAGGAGCTTGACAGGTAATCAGACAGGTAAGCTAAGGGGCAGATAGGTAATCAGACATATAAGTTAAGGGGAAGATAGGTAATCAGACAGGTAAATTAGGGGGCAGACAGGTAAGTCAGAATGTTTACAGGTAAGCTAAGAGGCAGATAGGTAATCAGACAGGTAAGCTAAGGGGCAGATAGGTAATAAGACAGGTAAGTTAAGGGGCAGACAGGTAAGTCAGGAGGTTGACAGGTAATCAGACAGATAAGTGAGGGACAGACAGATAGTGAGGAGGATGACAGGTAATCAGACAGATAAGTCAGGGGGGAGATTGGTACTTCGAAGATGGGCAGTTTGAACATGTTTGTATATATTATAAGAACAAGTTTTATCATACTTGAAATGCAGTCAACTTTCTGCATGCATATTTACTAGAGAATCAATTACAAAGATTGACCAAGTATCAGAACATTCAGGCATGGTCTAGTCTGACATGATTCACCGTACGATGTTAAACTGACTGCTTGATACTGTAACAACTTCCTGTTTTGATGTAGCGTTTCAATCATAAAGTGAAGTGTTTGTAGAAGAAGCGATCCATTTCGTTGAACATAAATCTTCTAGATCACAACTTAAGTAGTTATTTTCTGAAAATGGAAACAATATCATATCGCCATAGAAACTTGTGGTATACCTGTATGGTCATTGTGTTGCTGGTGCTAATGTGATACATTAGTATGCAACCCAGGTGAAACAGTCAAGGTTGTATTTTTATTTGAGAATACTATGTCATCTTAATTCAGCACTGCATGTTAGGAACCAACAACATGTTTCTTTCTCTCACCAAGTACAACACCCTATTGGCAAACAGGAAGAGATCAAACAGCTCTGATGATCTTGTCCATTTACAACCGACTTAATCATCAGCTCCCTCTCTGAAGGTATATGAAGTACCTTTACTCTGTACTTATTGATGTACTCTAAGGCTTGGTACAAGAAGAAGGACATTAAACACCAGCAATCAACTTGTCAGTACACAACTGTATGTCAGTAGGTGGTAATCACTTACACTAAAAACTTACGCATTAAAATATTTATAGTTTACCTGTAATCTTTGGCAAATTATATTCATAAAATACTATGGTAATATAGTGTACAATAACAGTTGAAAAGGCCAAGCAAAATGTCTTTAAACTATTGTATTTAAAAAAAGTTAAAAAAAAAATAACAAAATTAGTTTCTTGTTGTGGTTATTATAAGATATTGCCAAATAAGTGTTTATTATGTTTCCTCCTCCTGAAGAACTCCATGGATTACAACCATATTTGGTTTTAAAACATCAAAAATTATTAAGATCCCCACCATATAACCACAAACAAATAAAGATGATATGAACAGAAAACACATACATGCTAACAGGATTGGCTCAATGGTCCTGCCCTTTCCCCTGAGGCTTGGTCCCTGAGTTGCAATATGAAAACAGTTAAGATTCCCACTTTTTAACCATAGATACATTTGCCGGGTTCAATATGTATACATTCATGCTACCAGGACTTGACCTGATCTGGCCTCACCTCTGGGATTTACTTTCTGGGTCATAACATGAAAATAGTTGAGATACCCACCCTATAACCATATATAGAATTGCTAGGCATGAAGAGGAGAATACATTCATGCTTTTGGAATGGGTCAGAGGTTGGCCTTGTCCCTAACAACTTATATAATATGGAAACAATTCAACTCCCTTCCCCATATCATATGTGAAATTGTTGGGCATGCAGAGACGAATACACTCCTGCGTGTCATGGCAATCTTGAGGATTCAGTCCTTATAACAGCTTACATGTCTTTTACTTTTTGTTATAAAAATTGTATCATATCTAAAAGGTTTGAAAGTTCCAGATTGATTATAGGCCCCTGGAATTCTTGTTAACATTTTGTGGAAATCTTTTTGGGGCAGAGTAAGGTTGCTAACGCAAGAAACGATTTTGAAATTGTCCAAGGTGTGTGTTTAGTGTTTTGTATGATTTTCATATATCTCACTTTAGCAGTGGAAATCAAAGTCATTTGTGTGTTCGAAAAAACCCATTAAGATTTAATTATGTTTCCAAGAGTGTGACGAATTAATCGGGAGACAAACTGGTGGTGGGCCACTAGAGGACAGAAGTACTGGACATCTTGTTTGGATTATATAACTTTTCTTTTTGCCAGCTGTATCAAAACTTCAAGTTTCTTTATAAAAGGTTTAATTTTCTCATTGTTTATCATTTGAAAAATTCAGGTTTAGCATGCAATTTTGACTTGCTATGGAACTTAAGTGGGAAGTTAATGTTTACATATCATTGGAGTACCAATAGATATAGGAACTGGTTCTTCTTCTCTACAACATTCAGCACATGAACTCCATGTCAATGATTCTTACATTTGATAATCTATAGAAACACAAGCATAGTTAATGAATTGTGGTTTTCATTTCTGAATTCTGAAATGATCTTAATTTTAATCGATTCTTTTGCAGAGACCAATATGAGAAGCCGGAAAACAAATTGAAAAGAAAGAAGCGATCAGAGGTGGAGAAAAAAGGTAAGAAAATGGATGATTAAGGGATGACCGGGGTGAAAGTTCAAGGTCACTGGTGTCACATTAATTCTTTGATATTGAAGTTGAAATTGAAATGTAATTAAATTGTAACAAATGAAGCAGTAGAAGTGGCTACAAACCATAAATAAACCTGGTGGAGGACATTTTAGCAAAGTGATTGCTGGGACGAATGGTCAAGGTCAAAGTGTCATAGCAAATCTTTGATTTTCACAACATTAATCAAATTCACTTCCATTCATATCATCAAACTTGGCAGTTGTGGTCCCAAAGGAAATTGAAAACATGATATTGATTTCTAGGGTCAAAGAGGCTTGAAAGCCGGAAGGGCATATATCCAATTCATGCTGTCTGTATAAAATAACGACAGTTTTAATAGACAGGGTTAGTGATTTCTTGTCTGTTTAATTCACAGATGTCTGTTACTACAGACATTTAGAAATATGATGCATTAAACATAGAGATAACATAAAGATATGTTAATTTAAATTTCAGAGCTAAAAGTAAATGCCATCAGGAATGATCAGCGATTTAAATATATCTTTGATTGTGATTTAATCTGTAATATACTGTATGCAGATTTTTTTTGCCAAATCAAACTATCACCCCTCATTGGTAAAATCCGTTTTTTGCCAAGCTTCAATTTCGCCGTTCATTTTTCATCACTTTCGCTACAATGATAAATTTGCCCTCATTAAAGAGGGCGAAAAAGGCAAAATTAAACTACAGTGAAAACTTCCTGTATACAGCATCTGCCCTGATATAATACTGACTGGACAAAACCAAACTGATTAAAGACTGTAGACAGTCAAATCTAAATGTGGTGATATCCAATTTGTTATTATAAAACATAATTGGTAGCACAGAGAGGAGCCAGGGTAATCCAGGTAATCCAGTCACCTTCATCTTCAGCAAGTGTCAAGGAATTGTGATCAGAGGCGACTTGATTAGGTCAATCTTGTGTAAAATACTGGCCAGAGAGTGGGACAAGCATGGCTCAACTCCTAATGAAGCCTCATATAAAAAAAGTTATTTCTAAAATGTTTTTTATTTATCACCAACATCCCTTTTACAGCTGTCAAATTGGTGCAGTAGATTTTTAAGGAAAATTTAAACGTGACAAATTTCCCGATTCTCTATAGCTGTTAGGAGTACACACTATCTCATCTAGCGCTGAGTTATTCACATTACCATGGAAACTAGGAGTAAAGTGTGATCATTGTCATCAACCAGTTACTTTGCACTGTTACAGGTGGAACATTTTAAGCATGGAATATAGTTATGAATATTAATTGTGTTAGTGTTGACATCCAATTTGTTTTTAAGTGTTAACTCCTTTGCACTTTTATAGTAAACCTCCCCATAGGATTTAGCTGGAGACTTTTAATGGAATCTGTTCTAACAGTGCTACGGTCTAAAGATTGGGGTGTTGCTTCTCCCAGTTTGGTTAACTCATTCACCCCTGAAGATGCATTTGAACTCTTCCAATTCAAAGGTTGGAATAGTTCATTATGAAACTTCAGTGGTGATAAGTTAAAGCTGAATCAAGATCACCCTTTAACGTAAAGTTGAAAATGTTTGAGGGAACTGTGATTAAAGTGTCTGTGATTTACAATGAATATCAATAGTACGTTTTCTTAATAAAAACAGTGAACTGGTTGTTGTAAAAATATTACTATGTTGGCAGAGAGCCGGCATATGAGATCCTAAGTCAGTGAAAGCATTAGGGATCAAGTATTAAGGTGTTAGGACCTGTACGGACCGTGTAGACCAACACCTGCAATACTAGTGTCTCAATGACTATGACTTAACTGGCTGTGTTAGAGGTCATTGTCAATGAAGTCAATCAACAACAAATAGCTTCTGCTTGAATCAGCTTGGTATTATGAGTGTAAAGTTGATGATTTCCAGTCCAATGTGTTTGTGGATGATATTATTTGTTTAAATTTTAAAATCACTTATACCCAGTAATTATGCGATCTACAGACAAAGAGCATAATATGATTAAACCTATAAAGAGGAATAAAGTATGATAGTTCTAAAAGAGCTCATCACACAATCATATTGTTTTTGTGGCCCAGAGTGATGCCTAGGTATAAGTGCTGGGTAATATGTGCTGGGACAAAGCTGTAAAGGCTACGGTATAAAGGCAATATTATGGTATGGGAAAGAGGGTTTGAGAGCTCAGTGGTTTAATGGCTATGCATTAGGGCTAGGCTGTGAGAGCTAGAGTACGAAGGCAATATTACGATAAGGAAACCAGGGGTTGGAGAGCTCTGGGGTGTGAGGGCTAAGGTAAGGGTATGGCAAATAGGGCTTGAGAGCTCAGGGGTGTAAGCCTGGGCTAAGGTAAGGGTATGGCAAATAGGGCTTGAGAGATCAGGGGTGTGAGGGCTAAGGTAAGGGTATGGCAAATAGGGCTTGAGAGATCAGGGATGTAAGGGCCAAGGTAAGGGTATGGCAAATAGGGCTTGAGAGATCAGGGGTGTGAGGGCTAAGGTAAAGGTATGGCAAATAGGGCTTGAAAGCTCAGGGGTGTAAGGGCTAAGGTAAGGGTATGGCAAATAGGGCTTGAGAGATCAGGGGTGTGAGGGCTAAGGTAAGGGTATGGCAAATAGGTGTAAAGGCAGAATTCGGGTATGGGGAGTATAGAGTTTGGGAACTCATTGGTGTGAGGTGGCAATGTATTAATGCTAAGATTTGAGGGCTAGGGATAAAGGCTGAATTAGGGTATATGGGGATTAAGGTTTAGGGAGTTTGGGGCTGTGAGGATTTACATATTAAGGCTAGGCTGTGAGGGATAAGGTATGAAGGCAGAATAAGGGTATGGGGACTAGGGTTTGAGGAGCTTGGGGCTGTGAGGATTAACATAATTAGGCTAGGCAGTGAGGGATAATAAGGTATGAAGGCAGATTTGGGGTATGTGGACTAGGGTTCGGAGAGTTCAGGGGTGTGAGGGCTATGTTTTAGGGTTAGTCTGTGAGGACTTAAGTACAAGAAGAAATAACTTGGATATGAGGTTAGGGCAAAGGGTTAGGATTTGAAAGGTTTTTTTTTCAGCTTAGGGTATGAAGGCTAAAATGAGGGGAATATAGTACATACCGTATGAGTTACCTTGGAAGTGATGGTGTAACGTTAGGGTGATAGGGTAAATGTGTGATGTGAAATGGACTAGGGTTTGTACACTTAAGGAAATGATAAGTTAGGGTGTGATTATCACTTAATTGGTCTTACAATGACCCTGGTTTAACAGGAGTTATTCCTCTTCTTACAGATATTTGGTATATATACATGGGAAGGTATATATATACAACAAAAAGACTTATTATTAGAAATATATGGTTATTTGGTAATTTGTGGTTCTGTTTTAAATTTTCTGGAAATTCACTTTATTTGAAAACTGTTTGAAATCTTATTTGTGTTGGAAGGGAAACAACTGCCACGAACCAGTAATTTCCTTCACTTTGGAATAAGTGTTTGTAGGAGTTATGTCCCTTCTAATGATAGGAGTAATGCATGATTATCAATATTTTGCACATCTTCAGTGGAAAACTAAGATACATCAACTTAAATAGCATTGATAAGTATTTAGTCATGGGATATGGGCAGGCAAAACCAATACACTTTTTCAGTAGCAAATTATCTTTTCACCTTCAAAAGGCATGTAAAAACAGTTTGTCAATTTGTGATATTTATAAAAGTAAAATAAGTACTTCAATTTCAGTATGTCCTTGAAAGATGACACAATAATTTTCCAATTCAATATAAAAATTACTTTTTAGGTCACCTGAGCTTTAGCTCAAGTGACCTATTGCTACGCCACGGCCGCCATTTTGAAAACCTATTTCAAACTTAAAGTCAAGTTCTGCTGGACCATTTGAACTTAAAGTTTGTAGGAATGATCGACTCATGGTCCTGACAAAGTGTTGTTATTTTTTGGGTCGTTCAGTAATCCAATATGGCCGCTACGTCCTTCATTTCAAAAAACTATTTCAAACTTAAAGTCAAGTTCTGCTAGGCCGATTGAACTGAAACTTTGTAGGAATGATTGACTCATGGTCCTGACAAAGTGTTGTTATTTTTCGGGTCAATCAGAAATACAATTTGGCTGCCATGGCCGCTATTTTGCTACTAAGTTCTAATAGGCCGATCTCACTTAAAATTGGTCTAGGAATGATCAGCTCATGGTCCTGACAAAGTTAAGTTAACATTATACTATTTTTTACTCAAATTGGTACATATTTCAACAACAAAAATAAATACTGTAGACTCAGGTGACCGTTTAGGCCCATGGGCCTCTTGTTAAGTTTCCTTAACTTTAAAGCAATCAGATTTGACAATTGTCTCCTTGTATGATCACTATGGTTTGATTAGTTTAATATATTTTCAGGCTTTTTCTGACACATGAACGTACAGTATTCCAATATTTAAGAAATATGCACGCACATAAGTTGATTATTTTTATTCTACCACGTCAAATGTAACTAATTGTAAAGTTTTGCTGTCTTATAAGGCGACATGACCTAGATAATTTGATATGCAAATTAGACGCTGTTCTTTTGTGCGTGCAAGATTTATCATGTGATCGTGTTGTCTCGTTTTAACTTGATCAATGTCGCTCCAACATTTCTCGGTGTGTAGGGTTGGGATACCTGGATTGCGTAAATTTACTTCTAAAACCATCATCATGGTACCGATATCAAGCGGATTTTCTTGGTAGTGTCAGTGATACAACATCATACGATAGGCTTGCGTGAGTTGGCATATTGAGTTGGTTGCCATGACGTGATGGAAAGTTGCTGACCGGCTGATCATGATGCGACCTTCACCTTCACAGACTTCACCGGACAGCTGTGTTTTGCAACCACTGTTCAGACCGATGCTACTTTTTGCAACATTATTCTTCACACACAGTATGTACACTGTAGGCGAATGCTCGACATCACTTTGATTTTTTTTAAAAGCAGACGACGTTTTGCAGACCA